TGACCACGATCATGCCTGAACTTGTGGACGTCACACACCTATACAATTCCTTGCGCAACCACAGGCCTGCAACGCTAATGGGAATCAGTTGAAAAGATCATATTACCAGACACTCCATGTATGCCATATATGCCTACATTGACCACCCCCAAAACCACTCCAATGTAGGCATAGATGGCAGTCCCGTGGGGCGTCTGGGATATTTCCAGGACTGACTTGGCTTGACAGCCAAATTCCAGGGAGGGATCGAGATCGGTGGCAAAGCCAAGTGGCTCACCCAGCTCTACCCGAATCCCACCATTCGAATGGCAAAGCCCCTAAGCTGAACCCTTTGGGAATTGAGCCATTCGCCTGTGACTTTGGGGGGGAATAGCGCCGGCTGCCAACCTCACCACCAAATCCCACCAAAAAAAAGGCCGAGGCCAATTGCAATCCCGCAAGCGAGCAACAAGCTAACACCAACGAATGGAGAAGCAAAAAAGAATGAGACACTCCATGGGACTGCCATATATGCCGATCAGTTGGGGTGGTTTGAGGGGTTAATGAAATCCGGTCCACCTATCAAAAAACACGGCCCCCCCCCCCTAATAAGGAAACCGCGGTCGCATTTTTTCTAATAGGGGGTCCCTGAAATCGGGGGGGTCAAAATAGGTCACCTGGGAAGAGCTTCAAAACCAAAAAGTAAGTCAGTAAAATTTTATATAAAATCCTTTATTAAACTCGTGTCAAAAATGCAAAAAAGCTCCAGATCGAAGGGTCTTTTCTTTTCCCCTATACAAAAACCTTCATTAGAATAGTGATTCTTCAGTAGACTAACAGCTAAAGCTTTCGAAAGGTGATGTCGCTGTGCCATGCGGTGTTGCATGACCTCGGTGGCAAGTGCGTTTGCGTGAGTCCGTGCCATTGGGGGAAGGAAAGCCTGCTGGTGTAAGCGCGGCGTGTCATGGTGGATAGACAGGGCCAGGGCGGACAAAGGTGGGCAGTTACGGTTGTTTTTGGAACCTAATTTAAAAAAACTCCTCCAAAGTCGGCAATGTTGGTAGTTTAGTAGCGGCTTGAAAGGGCGGTAATTTAAAAACAAATATAAACCGTATTTAGGGGTTTCCGACATGACTTTTTTCTAACAGGGGTCCGTTTTTCATAGGTACTCGGGATTAGGCATACTTGGGGCGGCATATATGGCAGTCCCATGGAGTCTCTGGGAACATGTCCGTGTTGACCGCCGATCGTTCCGATGACGCTCGTCTTCACCTCGGCGACGGCGCGGTCCCCGGCCTCGGTGGGCAAGGCCGTCTTCGCGACCGCGCAGGTCGAGCGCCAAGCGCCACGCAAACGGCCCACCTGGCGAACCCGGTGGCGAACGCGAAAAGAAGTGGCGGCAAGTGGTGGAACGTCCGAACGAAAGTGGAACGTCCGAGTCCGATGTTTTGAAGGTATATAAATCGATGGCATTCATGGACATAGATGGAAATAGACCCCCTGGCCTGGAAGAAAGGTGTGGTTGAGAGTCTACAGTAACATCAATGGACGTTTCAAGAACCTAAGTGGTCCACGAATGAATGGGTCGTTCCAAAGAGCTCCCTCGTTCGTTCCCAAGTCGTGAGGAGATCGGCAGGGCACCCGGGACCCTGCGAATTAGATGGGTTCGCGGGATGTTCAGGAGTCGTTTCCCTGCAATTTCATCGGGAAGCTCTTTCCATTTTGCGTGTGGAAGAACACCCTTTAAACAAAATCTGTGAAAGCTGCATGCAGGATTTGGAGGACATGAAACCCTGGAACTTTGACTTGGTGACATTGTGGCCACCAGGAGGGGGGTGGCCCCCATACATGGATGGTCCAACAATTCCCAACCTTCCGATGTGTGGTCCGAACACACCACTCATCTCCATCGGGCACTGATTCAAAACAGCTGCCCTCGGGTGTTCTGAAGAGGGAAGACTTCGCACACCCAGAGAGTTCGGCTTTCTCTCTCGCCTTGTTCTTGTAGGCCACAGAGAGTAAGTTCCTCTCCTCCACGGAGAGTTGGGGATTCGTCTTGATCACTTGCTTCATGTGTTCCACGACCTCCTGAGTTTCTTCGTGCACGAGAACACGGACCGGCGGGGCCGGCGGGCATAGCAAGTGCAGGAAGTGCAGGAAGCAGTCACCCACCCCCCCAAACAAAAAGAAAAACTGAAGAGTGTTTGTTTACTCATGTTTACCCCCTATCACCCCTATCACCCCTGAGTCAGTCTTCTGCCGGAGCTTCTTCTTCACATTAGTCCCCCTGATTTGGGGGGTCTTGACTGCCAGTCTGGGCGTACGGGCGGGAGCACATGCATGTGAGCTCAGCTTTATAAGGCTGTCCATAGGTCCTTTGCTAAGGGTTTAACCTTTAACTTAACGGTTTAGTAGGAAAATCCTGTCTAAACCAAAAGGACTCAGGATCTATCTACGAACGCCTGAGGACAAGCGAGGCGTGAGCACGAGGCGCTTATAGGCGCGAAGCGAGGCGCGTGCTTCACTTCACCCTCTTTCACCCAGGACGTTCACCTGAAAAAGGAGCTTCGGAACCGACTACCCTCCCCGCAACAAACATGGAAGTGGACAACTCCCTGCTTGTAGAGGAGAATAGTCATTCCAGTGGCAAGTGTCCACTTCCATGATTGTTGGAGAGAGGATGTCAAATATATCACTTCAAGCTGGTACCGTTCGCGGTCGCAAGAACGTCCCTCGTTCGCGGTCACTTCACGTGTTTCCTTGCAGGTTCGTTGCGTGTTTTCTTTGGTGAACGATTCAACCGTTTTTTCGTTGGGGGCGCAAGCATTGTCCCAATTTTGAAAAGTTGAGGTCGACAAAACACGGGGCGAGCAAATCACAACATGCAACTACGTTGATGTCTGTGATTGTCTGTGTACGTTTTGTCTTTTTATTCATCAGCTTTATTCTGTGGGTACAGCTAGTCAACAACCAGGTTGCACAAACACATACAAACACCAAGGCGCGTCATAGCGTTCGGCCAACGCGGCCAACTGAGCAAGGTAGAACTCCTTGTCCTCAGAGCACGTGAACATGTTAAGCGTTATGTCACAACTCGCCAGCGACGGGATGGGGGGCTCCAAGAACATGTTGGAATAATGTCAATTCTGCTAAATTGTGACACAGGCGCGTTCGGACACATATTGAAACATGTCGTGTCGACTGATTCGGGCGAAAAGAAGCGTGTCCTAATTTCCTTTGAAAAGGCATCCTGATGTCACTGGAATCTGGGAAACATCTACCAGGAGTCACATGTCGGGGTGGCTTTTAGTCCCATCCAGTGAGTGGAGTAGCTGCGCACCCCTCTCCTCCAAGTTCGGCACCCCGACATGTGACTGCTGGTAATATGTTCTTCTTGGCCCCCCCATCTCAGGGTCTGCTCACATCAAGGTCCAAGAGGTATATACCTACTAATAAGAGTGACAGGATAGACCATATTGAAGTGGAATTTTGAAAACTAACTATATAACTATATAACGTAGCTAACTATATAACTTACAATGCAGGGCAATTACTCCATTATAGTTATAAGTTATAAGGCAATATGGAATTCTGAAAGCGGAGACGAACGGAGAAATTGCCGAACCACGCCCACTGGCCCTGTTTCTCGGGGCTCCTGCACCCAGTGTCCCGAAACTCAAGCCAGGGATATAGTCAATGCTGTGTGTGAGTCACAGTCGAATCCGACACCCACACTTGGCCCATCTAATAAAGGAAGGAGTTGAAAGCTATCCATGTTTTCCATGGCTATCCGGAGGCACAATCCGACAGCCCTGCCTTGGGAGATGCGTATCCGAAATCAAACAACATAAATATCATAACCCAGGTCACGACCCATGGGACTGCCATGGGACTGCCGATCAGTTGGGGTGGTTTTAGGGGTCAATGTAAGCTATGGCAGTCGTATGGAGTGTCCGGGTTATAGTAATATCAAAACTCAAGTAGATCTTTCGTTCGGATGCTGAAGAAAGATCTCCACCAGCCCTGCGAGATGACCAGCCCGTCTTTGTCCCCGTATACTCTCTGTGCAAGCAGCTCGGTGGCTCAGCATCACGGTTTTGGAGCAGCTCGATGGCGGACTTTGAAAAGGGCCGCGGACATGGCATAAGACATCCACAAATACGTGGAACGGGTGCATCGCTACGAGTAACAAGGGCATCGCTACTAGTAACAAGAAGCTACTAGTAGCGATGCGCATGTTACTAGTAGCTTCTTGCTACTAGTAATGCCCTTGTTACTATAGTAGCGATGCCCAATACCCTAAGCATAAGTGGACAGGTCAGCTTTCCTGGACCTGATGGTCTTCGAGTAACCATCTGTCCTGGACCTGATTGTTCTATCCAAGTCAGCCTGCCAAAACATCACTGGCTCAATGGTAGGCCCATATCCTGTCAAACCATCCATCCCATCCCATGGGACCTCAACCCGTTCTTCCGCATGTTTGCGACTCACTCCGGCGATCCTTGCGCCCGCGCCGTGCGGGAGCGAGAGCGAGAGCTTTCTATTGTGCAGTGTATTGCGGTGCTCTCCAGTTGAAGTTCCTGTTGTGAAATCAAGTCTTAGCCTAACATATAGGCTTGACTAGGACATCATGACACTCAAATGGCTTGACTAGGCTGCACTAACAAAGAAAGTCTTCCTAACAAATGGCTATGAGATATGGCCCTCCCAAATGCTTCACAATGTCCAACTGCAACTGGTGCACCTTTGTTTGCTGACAAACGACTGTGCACAGCACCCGTTCGAACAAATCCATCGCCAACGGAGGGCGAAACAGGCGAAAAAGCTTGCTTTCAGAAGGTTACAGTGGTTTTAGGATAGATGGTGCAATCCCTGGCCAACAAAAATCGTATATTATATATATATATATATATGTACCCCTGTCGAAGTGGAACCTTAGGCCCCTGGGAAGACTAGTTTCCTGAGGAAGTATGAGGAATTGTTCTTGACTGATATAAAGAATTCACGTCATTTCACTTGCTCTGCACATACCCATCCTCCCAAGGCAAAGAACTTGTTCGTGCGGCAGAACTTGCAGCCGTCCCTGTCCATTCTTTGTGATGGACCGGCCCGGCGAACGCAAAAAGTTGCGGACTGATCCCCATCTGTCATGGACCAATCAAAAGGCGTGCTGGCAGCAATGTGCATGATTGACTTATTTATTGAAAGAACCGCTTGAACTTCCATTTGTATTATATATATATATATATGTGTGTGTATAGGCTGTATAGCGTGTATAGACATCCCCAGTGAATTCAGGAAATCCCACTGACTGTTTGATACCGTTTGATACTGTTTGTAGATAGCTGGAGCTTTGCAAGATCTGTGGATGTCAGTGTAGACTCGTTCCAGTCATCTGAGCGACTTCCCCTCTCATCTCACCTATCACGTTGAGCACTGGGGCCGGGAAACAACCAATGAACATGAAACGTGAAGCTACTGGTCGTCAATGCAAATACTCACATTGTTTTGACACAAGGATTCTACACACGCACACGATTCTGAAGAATGAGAGGCAATGCCCTCAAAGAGTCACATTTATGTGATCGACATGGATCACAAATGGACTTAGACTTAGAACATGGCACCCTTCGAACACCATGCTCAACAAACCGTGTTCATCCCAAACACAATTAATTACCCTCCATGGCTTGGGCGATGTGAGCAGTGCGGCCTAACCAGAAACCAATGCGGCCTTATGGTCATATCCCAGGCAAAGACTTGTAATAAAGGTCATGAGTCATTAAGTTGAAAAATAAACCGCACCCAAATGCACCCAACCACCTGTCTTGATAGAACAAAGTGCTACTTTGCATCGTTAAGTGCTCTCAAACCCGGTGCTTCACATGGTGCCACTATGTGCCACTCACCTTCTCTTTAGAACATCGTGGTAGCTCATGGTAGCTTATGGGAGCCTGATGTAGCTTGAGTATGCTCCCAAAAATCGCCAGCCACTTGGTCTCCCCACTTGTTCCTCGTGCCACCAACCTCCTGCCTCCCCACCTGCCTCTCCACCGCTCAACTCTGCGGAGGGATCTGACTCGTGGGGCCATAGTCGTAGATCACTTCGCGATGCGAGGACCAACCTCGGGTGACCGGTCGACGGAGTCGGAGCGGCGCGGGGCTGGGCGATGCGCGTGTGGTGGGGCACTGGCGGTGATGGTGGGGCGGTCAAAGGGTGGTTAGTGGGGGAGGTGGGAGATGGGCATGTTCCACATTGAAATGGGTGTGCCCAGATCCTGGAAAAAATAATTCCGGGTGGCACGTGCGAGCAAGAATGGGCGTTCTTTGTTGGGCTACCCTAAGAATCCGGGCTCTCAAACACATAGGGCTATAGGGTTTCGTTCGGGTCACCCCTGCGTTCCGGTGTCGGGTCCGACCCCCTGCGGAGAGCCCGTTCGGATTCTTTGGGTATAGGCATATTTGCCTGCCTTGGCGTTGGTCCATTTAGGGATGGACCTTTCCAGGTGATTCGTTTGGGCCCCAAGTGGTGTGCTCGATACAGCAAGTCAAAAGGGATGAGGTACCTGTGATCCGGCACTATCCCGGTGGATGAATCTGGTTGAATCAATTTGAATTTGAATAGTTCAAATCTCAAATAAGGCTTAGGTCGCGGAAAGACGAACTGAAGTTGGGTTGGGCTGAGTTCGCTGTCGCTGCGAAGTTATGCCGATTTCCAGCCTGGCCGAAAGACGGCGGCCAAACCGATTTTGCGGCCGCCCGAATCCACTGGATGAGCGATATAGGGAAGCAGGGCCACCACAATGAGCAGTTTGGTTCGCCTGTGGAACTGACACTGCTGCCCTTTTTTTTTGTGCTTTCTTGATCTAGCAGCTCAGGGGCCCATTGTCCGCTGCTATGTTTGCGAGTCGGAGTGTATATTATTATCTTTTTCCTTTTGAAACGTCTCGCTCGCTGGCTTTCTATCTTTTCTTCTGAGCCATCGCAAATCCCAAACTTGGACTAGGCTTCAAACCATCTATCTCTGATTTCCTCAGTGCACCCTGTTTGTATGATATGTATGGCCGTCTAAGTTAAGTAAGAAACTGCATATACATTTGGATACATATATATGTATTATTATGATGAGTTGGGTCTATCATATTACCTGTAACAGTGGATGATGATGGTTAGTGAAGGCCTTGGTTTAAAAAAACAAAATGATATAATATATGATAATTGTTTACTGACTGTTACAGGTAATAGGACAAACCCTAATCATGAGTATATATTTTGATTAGAAACTTTCTATATTGAGAAACCGTTGCCAGGGTCAATAATGAACCTCCCAAACCCCATTGATAGAACATTAACATCCGCCACTACAACATCCGCCTAGTTTAACTTTGGGACCTTCCCTTCCATTTATGTCATGTCCTGTCCCCAAACGGAATCCACTCCGTTTGAGGCTACTAGGAGACACAGCTGGCCTTCTGAAGATTCCGAAGAAATGACATCTGGGTACACATGTCATGCATTCTAATTTAGATTTAATCAACAACATCTTTCGGAGAAGTCACAGGGCAAACGTCGCACCCTGGAAGGTTGACATGGAACTCAAACAAACACTGTTTGTTGGAGGAAGCAGTCTTTCAAATGTCCATGTTCAACTTGTTAAAATTCCCGCGGGTTTTATTAAGAACTCTTCCTGTGTCACCCACATGGGTCAGCTTCAGCTGTCTTCCAAGCGACAAAGCTGAATGGCGTGCTTGGTATGGATGCCTCGTCCGGACTCAGCGCCCAATTGACCCGATCGAAATGATGCCATCCTATTCACACACCCGTCCTCAGGGAGGATCCACCCCAGCGCACACCCGCGTCCTTTTGGTAGACAGCTATATATTGGTGCCGACTTGGAAGAGTGCGGCCCTCGAGACAAAGACGGGTGCTCACCTAGTCGTGTCACACCGAGTCCAGCCATGAATGACTAAAACGAACGGCACTACAAACGGCTAAAGACTGCATCATTGTCACTGGCGTAGACCTTTGGCAGTATAGGCCAGTTCGGTGACCAGACCAATGAAGGATCTTGAAGGGCGTGGCGTGTTGGTTGTTTTTTTGTTGTTGTCTGGTGACGTATTTGCGCCGAACTCTTCCATCTCCTCCGCGTCGGTGGTCGTGGGGTGTTGCAGATGTGTTCTCCAACTGGAAACGTCACTGCGGACAACGTCACGCCACTTACAGTAACTGCCACTTGCCCCATGGGAATGGAGTACCGAAAGTGGTCAGAAACAGTGAGACAAGGAAAACCACATGCACCAGTCACGACGAGCGTTCGGGGTGCCGGCGAACGACTGGAGGAAGGAGTTGGGTGACCCATGGTGACCGCTCCTGGGACGAACCAAACCACCCCGGCCCGGTTGGCCGACCGCGACTCCGACCAGCGCGGTCCACCCGGTTGGTCGCCTCCGGCACGTACGTCCCCAGAGGGCCCAAACCAGTGCTGGACCGGAGCACCGGTGGTGCGTGCCCGTGCCTGGATAGCATGGAGGTGAAAAAGGTGGTGAAAATGCGAAGAACTGAGGAAAACAAAGGGAAAACCGGATGTAAAACACCTAGAGATGACTGGTAGATTTGGGGATGAGTTGGGTGGGTTTGATGGGGTCAAGTCAGGTTGAATGGAAGTGCTAAAAGATGCTAAAAGCCATTGTCTGTAGAGAAATGTCGAGAAGAGCAGCCTTCCAAGGGACCAATGACTAACTTGGAGTGTAGCTTCTTCTTGATGGAGGTGCTAGGAAAGTCCTTGATCGACCGAGTACAACCTGCGTGCCCCATGAAAGTCACCGCTAAACTCCGGACTCTTACATCATGGAACTGCTGTTGAATTGAGCATATGAAAAGGCTACTGCAAGAGCCAGCCAGCAAAAATATGATGGTACTGTTAGAGTTCAGCTTTGTCGCATTAGTTTCAACCAATTTCAGCAACTTGAGAGGGAAATGAGCTCCCTCAGGCGCCCTCTCCTCAGCAACATGTAACATGGCAATCTACAATCCAGTGGAAATCTCTTCACCTTTGGGGTCATGTGATTCCTTTGGAGGTCGACCTTGCGACCTCACCACTCCGCCCATCGGCACCCGATCACTGCAACTCAGTTGCGCCAGCATAAGTGGTACCAGTAATGGAATTGCCAAGCACCTGTCGGATCTCAAGACGCGTCTGCCTTCCCTCACCACATCCACTGGCTGACATGCATCGGTCCCCTGCCATGCTGAAGGAGACGGACATGCATCGGTCGGATGAAACGCCTGGCTGCCATGTGTCGTCATTGGACGGTAAGTACCCTTCTGGGTGTACGGTGTATAAGTATATGAATGCATATATATATATACATATACGCCACCTGAAAGGGATGCCACAAGTGAAGACCACCATGTCGATGTTAAAACCATCCTACACCTGTTAGATCCTGTTAGTATCCTCTGTGAACATGGGTGCTTCCCATCGCTCCCCATTGTCCTGTCGACAAGTGGCCAGGGCAGGAGTCAATCACGTGCCAAGGTCAGTTGGGGGTAGGTCAGAGTTCCCCATTTTCCACACCCATGACACCCCAGCCAGAAACCTGACCTTTGCTGCGATAAGTAACACGCGAAGGCGGTGCAGCATGAACGGCCTCATTGATGAAAATGGGGTTGTTGGAGACGATGCCCGCGGTGAGGTGGTTGGGCATACGGTTGATGGCTTCGATGACCTCTTTGGCACGGCGGCATGGCCTCTTCCCGCTGAAAACATCAACATGCATACAAAAGCATGCATATGGGCAGAACGATGCGAGGTGTGTGCTCGCAAGATCTGATTGACTCAGCCACAACTGATGTAGAACGAGGTCATTGTCCCAAAATGATTCCAAATGACCTGTCAGGCAGGCACAAGGTCTGATGTAGCCGGACCCGACTTCAATTAGAAAATGGAACATGGACCCATTAAGAACGGTACTTGCGCCCATGTACGAACATTGCTATGATGAAGATGGACCATGGACCATTGTCCGACAATGAGACTCCAGGTGCAAACAGTACAAACATGGCATGTATTAGGATATGATTCTTCAAAGTAGCCTTTCGCTATCCATAGTTTGAGCTGACTTAGGAACGATCCTTGACTCCATCAAGGCTACACCACAGCTGTGGCATTCAAGGCACAAACACCTATATACATATACATAGAATCTATCTAAACCACCCTAAGTGGGGGACCAGAGTCTCTGAAAACCGCTTCATTTGCCACAAAAACACGTCCACCTCAGCGGTTTGGTTTGCGTTTTTTTCTCGTTTCTGTGTGTGAGGGGAGGGGGAGGGGGAGAAAAGGCCGGAAAATATGCACGCGAGAACGCGCCATTGTGGGTGTGGCACCTTGGACTGCTGGCCCTCCTTGTAGTCCACCAACACCTACGTGTGTCAACGTTCACAAAGGGCGAGAGATGGCGTGTTTGTATGGCATCCTGCTGGATGGAAGGTGCAGGCATTGCACAAAAAGCGACTACTGTATTCTAGAGATCAAACAAAATAGCTATATAATTATATAACAATTGTACTTTTCATTTGTGAACATCGCATCACTGCGCTAAAAGTGTAGCAATACAGCAATACCTGGCGCTAATGAGGGAACATGAAGGCATCCTCCGGGCGGGCTCACAGGGTCATTTACGGCGCAGCTCTTGTTGAAAGTGTGACCAGTGCACGGAAAAGGACCTGCGCCAATTAAGGCGCAACTCCTGCAAAGTAAAGGTCCGCCCCAGCGGGTGGAGACGGTCAAAAACAACAGCCCACGCGCGGGCCCACTGTCAGGTTCTAGGCACACTCGGACTGATAGAATACATCTACAGAACTGCATGTTACATATACACGGACCCCAGGTCCATCACCCCAACTGATTGCTCTACCTTGCCCGTGTTGGGGGGGCTTGGAGCCGAAGACCGCTGCCCCAAGCGCGCGGGCCTGGAAGGGTCCAAAGAGCTCGGTGGTGGCCATGTCGAAGCTGCCAGAGTCCTCCAAGGCCTGAACGGAACACCAGAGCAGTAAGCACCTGAACGGAACACCAGAGCAGTATGCAAGAAACTGAAATGACAAATATCATGTGTATTCGTTATGTAGTAATTGCATCGATATTGGTCATGATAGAATGTTGCATCTCAAATACTAAAACAAACCGAGCAAACGATCGAGGGAGTCTGAATAGAATCCCTACCACCAACAAAAGTAGCAGCAGCAGTAGTAGCAGCAGCGGTCGTTGAATTTCTTGTAGAGAGAAAAGACTTATCATTATTCCAAACCCCTAAGCAATTCCTACTATTCACTTTCCCTGGGCTTGTGCACTACCCCCTTGAAAAAATTGGAGCAATGAACTCGTTGAGTTTTAATAAGCGTTTTTGAAAACGATTTCCAGGTCAGGACTCAATGAATCATATGAATCAAGCAAACCTCAGGAGAGCTAAGTAAGGATTTTGAAGGGGAGCAATAGCAGGACAATAGAAAAGGAAACGAACACACACACACACGCTGTGCAAAAATACTATTCCCTCCCATCCAACTATTCAGGGTGTTGGAATATTTTGGCGAGCAATATCTAAAAATCCCTCCCATTTGACCAATGAGGATCCAACATTACCGTAGGTGAGTGGAATCTTTGGGCTCTAAATATTCTCCACAAAAATGAATTCATCAAACCCATATAGGGCTCCAGCCTCAGTCGTACCTCGTTCGCGGTCCCTCGCTCCGCCTCAATGGGAAGCCGCACGGCCGTCGGCTCGACGGCGCCATACCTGAGATCCCAACGGCGACCCAGTCGTCGCTTCTGGGAGAGGAGCGCGTTTCGGTCGGCATGTGTCGTGTCGGGTGCCTGCATGGGGTGTGACAGTGGTTTCAAGAAGTGTGTTTCACATAGAAGCAATTGAAGTGTTTTTTTGGTTGCTTGTCCGCTCGGATCAAGAGAACACATTCTTTTCACAAAATATCTCACCACCTTGACCCTGACCCCACGCACTCCACACTCTCCACTGCACATCTGCTAATTCTAAAGCCTGAATTGAGCCGCAAAATGACAGACCTTGTGGTTATGGGCCTCTTGAAGAAGCCTGGACTTGCGTCTAGCAGATTTCACACAAAGAATTAAGAATTGCAAGAACATGCCTTAAAAGCTTTTTATGTGGATTTGCCAGGCAGTTCTTGTTGCACAAGACTGTTAATTTGCACTTTCAACCACAATGTGACTCAAGCAAGCACATTCACATTCAATTTATTGCACTTTTGTTTGTGCCACTACAATATGCCACAAATGCCTCCACAGGAACGCATCCAGCAACAGAACGGGACACATTGGCAAAGTGGTTGTGATCCGACATGGTTTGAGGTTAAATTCCACACGCTTTGCTCGAAAAAAAAAGCTGGTTGTGATTGAGCTAGAAGTTCTACCCCCTTCCGCAAGTCATTCTAGTCGATGGATTAATCGTCAACGATTCTAAAGTGCACAGTGCACACACAACCCCCCACCAAAAAGAACGACATTCTAATAATAATTATGCGCCGTGACACATGGCTGTCAGTTTTGAGATCCCCGGGTTCACTTAAGCCTTTCAAGGGGTCAACCAACGGGACCCTCAAAGGATCACTTTGAAGACACTGAACAACCAACTTGGAAACAGGGCCTGCCAGGTCAGGAAGGGCACCCGATGCTATGAAGTTGTTTTTTGCTAAGCAAGATTCAAGGTACAGTGCCATCACAATCGTTTGGTAAGTAAACACCGGGATTTTCGATTGAAGTGTAGGTGTTGGCTTGGTGATGGGGTGCCAGCTGCCAGCTCCTCGCCTCTTTTCACCCCATGCCCGACATCTTCCTCTTCAGCTGGCGCATTTGGCGCCCCGCGAGGGACAACGCCACCTCCACCGTGCCGGCGGCCACTTTGTAGCGCACCTTCGCAGGACGGCAAGTCGTCTCGCTGCTCGAAAAAGCCTCTGGTTTCAAGGGAGGTGGCCCACTGACTAGCTACCCATGCTGCGACAAGGTCTTCTCAAGACCATGCACTCCAAAAACAACCTATACACAACAAGCCTACGCAAACAACTTATGCAATCGCCTCCGCCTTCAGCCTACACAAGCCTACGCCAACCCACCAGTATCAAAAAAGCAGCCTATGCAGCACTGAAGGAGTTCCCGCTTCATCTTCTTTGGATCGTCCAAAAACACACACACACTACTCAACTGTGTCCTCACAAGGTATACGTTTGATGTTGTTAGACTCTCTAACCCACGCCAAACCCCAATCGAAACGGAGGATCTGACAGGTGAGGCAAAAGGCTTGCTCATATACTTGTCTATACATAAAGACATAGGCATGTATATATGTAGTCATTATGAATGATGTGATATATAGTATATATATGCAAAACGCACAGCATTTTACCCTACTCCACGTTGTCTTTAGGACCGAGACGCCCCTAGGCAGGTGAAAGATAGGGTTCGTTGCTGCCATCGCAATTTCATGGTAGCGAAGAGCCTGGTTGCACCTTGAGTTCGACGAAGAGGTGCAGGCTCGTTTTGATCCAGGTGAAGTTGGGTTTGCATCTGAGCCAGTTGGCGAAGGGTGCATAGAAGATGAGTCGAGAGAATGTTCCTAGCTATGATGGCACGCCAGAGACCCTTCCTAGCTACAAGGAGAAGGCCATCCAGTATGCCATGACCATAGAATATCACAAGAGGTACCTCTGTGGGCCACGGCTCCTCCAGTCATTGACAGGTGTGGCCAAGGTGATCACGAGATCGCAGACCCTGAAGAATCCACAATGGTTGTCCCATCCTAGGGGCGTGTACCAGCTGTTGGAGTTCCTTGAAGAGCAGTTGGCGAAGCCCAGCCTGGTGGACGCCAGTAGGCATGTGCTCAAGTTTTTCTACAACCTCAATAGGTCCCGTGGTGAGAGCATGACAGAGTGGATCGCCAGGCACACTGAGGCATTGTGGGAAGCTTCAGCGGCTCTTCGTCGGGTTCAAAAGGAGTTTGGAGAACCCACCAAGTCCAGCAGCTCGGAGGGACATCGGCCGGTGTGGAGTGACTGGGGTCAAGATTCCGTGAACACGGGTTCAAGAGGCGAGACGGAGGAGGTGCAGGTTGAGACCACCCAGGAGGAGACTCCAGATGGGGAAGAACCACAATGGCATGGCACAGTGTGGACCTGGAATTGGGCAGGTTCAAGTGATGGCTGGTCGGCAAAATCTTGGCATTCCGCTGAGTATGAGCCCCCAACAACATGGGATGTGAGTGAAGAGATCTTCATTCCGGAATTCCTAGCTGGGTTTCTGCTGTTACATCGCAGTGGATTAGATCCCAGTGAGAAGTCCAACATCCTTGGCTCCATCAAGGGCAAGTTCAACACCGCCACAGTTGGAAAGGCCTTGAGAGAACAGTGGTCTGATGCAGACTTGGCAAAACGTGACAAAGCAAAAATGAACTCTGCATTGTGGGCCACCGAGGAAGCCGACGACGATGCCGAAGCCTTCCTGGGGGGAACAGGAAGCCATGGCAGAGGACCTTGAAGGAGAACAGCTCGAAGCCTTTTGGGCTGAACAAAGTCGCATTGAAGAGGCGAAAGCCGCCATCCAGACGGCCAAGACCACCTTGCGAGAAGCCAGGTGGAATCAGAAGCAGTTGAAGTTGGGCCGCAACTACTATCCTCCACGCCCGTTCCCACGGGATGGAGGAAAAGGTGGCGGCAAGGGCAAAGGGGGCATCCAATGCTTCAAGTGTGGAGGCCCGCACTTCCAGAGCCAGTGTCCACAACGGACCAAAGATGCAAAGATAGCAGAGGAGGCGGCAGAGATCGCATTTGGGGCCATGGAACTGGCCAATAGCGCACGATCCCAAGAGCTTGATCCAGTTGAGCAGGCTCAGATCGTTCAGGCAGTGGCTGAGCAGTGCATGGGCATCATCGACTCCGGCGCCACTGCGTCCCTTGGGTCCTTGGAAGCCATGGAACACCTGGCCAGGAAGAACCTGGAGGACAAAGGTGACACTCGCATGGAGTTGAACCTGGATCGGAAGCCAATCTTCCGATTTGGGAATGGCATGACTAAGGAGTGTGTTTCGACTGCCAAGGTCAACATGGACGCAGGTCAGAAGAAAGGCAGCATGGAGGTGCACATCCATGACGCTCCCGGTCAGCCAGTGTTGATCTCCCGCAAGGCACTTCGATCGTTGGGAGCCGTGATCGACTTTGGTACGAACGAAGTTGTGTACAGGCAGGTTGATGCATGCACAGTAGTTCCCTTGCAGGAGGCACCAAATGGCCACCTCTTGATGCCATTGACAGGCAATCTTTTGAATGGGGGCACATCAAGGAAGACTGAATTTAAGGGTCTTCATGATGAGTAGGGATTCCGCTCCTCTGGCGGTATGGACACGTCAAAAGGTCAGGGGAGTGAATTTTTGGGTTGTCGACTGGAAAACCAGTCTTTGGGGATTGAAGACATTGAGTTTAAGCAATGTCCATGTTGTGAGTTGATCGCATTTCGTAGGGAGCGATGTGATTTTTGTGAAGAGGGGGAGTCGCCTAGGTTGAGAAATGACAAAGCTCAACAAACCCACAAACCACACAACCAACCACATACCACACAAAGCAACAACATGTCATCGAACGAACAGCAGTCTTTCAGCACTCAAGCCTCGGACGATCACTTCAGCCGTGATTCACCACCGCATCATGCCCGTGCCCAAGACCAAGGCAGAGTGGCTCCAGCGCTTGGCCGATCATGGGGAAGTGGTTCCATCATCCTGGACGGTAGCACAGATGAAGGCACGCTGGTCCGAGGTCGAGGAAGAGCAAGGACTGAAGATCAAGTCAGACCTTCAGGCCAAGCTCCAACAACTCCGGACAGCCAGTCGCAAGAAGGGAGAGCTCCTCTTGTTTCTCGAGGAGATGGGCATGAAGGTGAGCTCAAACATGACTGTCAGTCAGCTGATCTCCAAAGGCGAGGAACAGATCCACAGTCAGTTCGAGCCGGAGAGCAACGAGCTGGTGGGGTTCGGGAAGCATGGGGACATGACCTATGCACAGGTGATGGAACAACATCCCTCATACATCCAGTGGGTGATCACGACAGCCCGAGAGTCCGATTCTCCGCATTGGAGGCTCAAGCGGTTGGCGCAATGGTCAAGTCAACAGCGCAGTTCTCAGGCAGTGAATCGCAGCTCAAAGACTCAGGCCGGCAACACCAAGGGCAGCAGTTCCGTGGGCAGTTGCTCCATGGTCGACCCGATAGACATCAGCACTCCGCCCTCCAGCAAGGGATACAAAGAGCAAGATGTCCAGAAGGAGTTGGCACAGATCGAAATGATGAAACAGGAACTGGCCGAGAAGATGAAAGCAGTGCAAGACAAGGAGATTGCATTGGAGGTGGAGAAAGCAGAGCTGAGTTACCCGTCGGGCCGCCACAAGAACCGGAAGGAGACCTGAGTGAAGGAGAGATTTTTCTCCAGCCACTTCCAGAAGAAACGGCACTTCAAATCGCTCGAACTTGGCACATACAAAAGAACCCATTCAGTAGGACATGGCAAGCACTTGTTTGGACCAAGAGGCCTTTACTTGTTGAGCTGGCATGTTTTTCTGATAGTCGTTTGAGCAGTGAAGTCGAACGTCGTTTTGGGAAGGGGGCAGCAATTCGTTTAGCAGAGTGGAACGGGGCAGACTTGGAGACAGAAGCAGGTGTACAGTTAGCCATGCAGAAGATAAGGAAGTTAAGACCAGTGCACTTGTGGATATCCACAGAATGTGG